GTCCCCTCCCAGTCACTCTCCTGCAACCCACCCCACCCCACCCAGTCTGCAGAGCACATATTTAGACCCTCCTGCGTTGGATGTGTTCCGCCTTGTCTCCCAGCTGTGTAGGTGAGGTCAAGATCAGTTTCCCCAAGCAGTGAATGTGTGTCAGCGTCCTTCAGCATCTGCTGAAATCTGGCTCAGTGCAAGTGTGCACAGTGCATGCTCGGTGAATGAATGAATGGATGGATGGATTGATGGATGGATGGATGGGAAACAAAGGAAGACAGTGATAGATTTTCATTTATTTTACAGCTCAATTCCGTGGAAAATAGGTCTTTATTTAAGGGCATTTCATTTGTAGCTCATAGGAATTTGGAATGAAGCCCCAAGGTTATGAGTTTCTCTATTTTGTTTTGCTTATTATACTTTTCTTTGGGGTTATTTACTGATTTGTTTTTAGCTTTTTTTTTATGGATCAGTTGCTTCTTTTGTTTTAATTTTGCTTTGATTTAAATTGAGGATCTTTTGGAAAATCGGCTATTGGAGGTAATGAAAACACTCTGGACTGGAAGCCTGGAGACCCTGATTCTAATTTCACTCTGTCACCAGCAAGGTGACTTCTGAGACAGCCTCTCATAAGTGGTGATGTTTGTTTATTTACTCCCAAATTGGTAAAATATGGTGGTAAGTGGGGTGATCCTGAATCGGCTTTTTTTGGCCTCGGAGTTGTGACTGAACAGAAAGGAAACAGCAGCTTCTCAATGCCCAAGCTCGATGATATGTGTGTGACCGTGCACTAGTTTTTAGTGTGAGGAGTAATTTTTCCCGGCAATGGGAGGGACAGGAGGATGAGTCAGATCACAGGAAGACTTTCTCTGCTGAGATAGTGGCAGGTTTCAGTGTGTCCTGAAGCAGCTCAGGAGCAAAAGCATCAGGGCAGAAGGAGGAGCTGCTGCAGCATCCGGTGTGGCCAGGTCACAGGCTTCTGTGCAAGGGTTGAGAAGTTGGGTTTGTCTCAAAGCTGAAGTGGAATCTTCAAAAGGCTTTCAACAGGGAGAGAGGCAGCCTGTTGTAGAAGGGGAACAAAACAAAAGACACTGGAAGCAGGGACCAGCAGGGAAGTGTCGCAGTGACATTAAATAAGAGACAGGGCTTGAGTCAAGGCAGTGAGGCAAGAAGGGGAGAAGTGGCTAGGCCCTGTAGACAGACACACTTAGGGAGAAAAGTAGTGCTGTTCAGTTTGAGTTTAGACATAAGGAGCAGCGAGTACAGAGTCAAAGACAGCTTTCAGAGTCCTTCCTTTGGTAGCATTTCCAGTTCACTCAGAAAACACAGCCTATCAAGAGCAGGATGAGTTTAACCTGGGACATGTGGAGGTTAACAGTGGCCTCAAGTGGACGGGTCCGCTTCCCAGGAGCTTAACTATCCTGACTGTGGATAGGTTAATCTGGTGGAAGCTTTTGGTGTAAGCAGACACTGCTCAGACACAAGACTGAGAGGGATATCGCTACTGAAGGGGCACATAGAAGGTGTTGCTATGGCGTGAGTGGAACCCTGCCATGGTGGGTAAGGACCGCGCACGCAAGATTTTTGTGGCTGGTCTGCGGTGGATGAGGGACAGACAAATACACCATTCAGGCAGAGTTTGGATGTGGGTTTACTGAGATAAAGGAAATAGGAAGGGAAGAAAGAATGAGAGAGAGAGAGACAGAGACACAGAGAGGGAGACAGAAAGCCATCTCCTCAGAGAGAATGGCAGAAAGGAAGAGAGAAGGGAGTGGACAGAGCTTGTCTTTTAAGGGAACTTTGCACTCGTGTACAGACTAGGACCCTGAGCTGCCCAGGGTGCAGCCTGGGTACATCCTGCCAGATGACAGGGCAGGCCAGCATAATGCCTGGATCCTAACAGAAGGACTGAGAGGGTATGGCCTCAAAAAGCTCTAGGGATAGAGTTCACCATATGTTATGCCCAAATCCATGAAGACCCCCAAAAGCCAACAAGGAGACTGAGTCCCATATGTAAGCAAAAAGCCGTTATTTTATACAAGTTTGCAAACTTGGTCTCTCCGCATGTCCAATGTTTAGGAATAAATGGAGAGCCTGAGCTCAGTTAGAGTTGGGTTTTTATAGTAGTAAAGGTGGGGGTGAGGGGTTTCTTAGGTTCAGGACCCCTGATTGGCTGACAGTTGTCTAGGGGTGTCCTGGTGAGGGTGTGGTGGCAGGTATTTTTATCTACAGCAGTTGGAACATTAGGCATTTCCTTTGGATGGTCTGTTCTTGGGTGGTGGTCGGGTAATCTCAGTTTGTGGTCCTTCTTGCAACCAGGTATTGCTTCAGGGTAAACTACTGAGACTCAGGCCTCCATTAAATTTACTGATGGCTGAGTCCTACTCTGGCAGGTGATACTGGTTGGAAGTAAAGAATCTTCTTTGGGTGATCTATTCATATTTAGCTTATTATGGCTGGCTCCTACAAGGACAACAGGGATAATCTTGGGTTTTCACTTGCTGCGATTTGGAATTACCATGGAAACAAATTTCTAGAGATGTCTGAGAGGGATTCTTTAGATTAGATTAGCTGAAATGGGAGGATCCATCCGGAAAATGGGATGGGCTCACAGGCTGACTGGAAAGGAGGAAGCTAGCAGAGTATCAACATTTACCTCTCTTTGCTTCCTGACTGTGGACACAATGCGATGCCTTCAGCTCCTGTCACCATGCCTTCCCCATCACATCATGATGAGTCCTAACCCAGAACTTTGAGCCGAAATAAACCCTGGCTTTCTTAGGCTGCTTTTGTTAGAGTGTTTTGTCATATCAGCAAGACAAGTGACGAGAGTCAATCACTCTAGAGGGTCCTGTGAGATAAGAGCTGAAAGTGTACTATTGTGTTTGCTAAATGAGTAGTGCCTGGTGACCTGGGTGAATGGATTGTCATTAGAGACTGAGCACAACCAGCAGCCTGACTAGAGAATGGCTCACATAGAAAGGAAGTTAGAGGCTGTTCTATTTGGAGAGATGTGTACATACGCTCTGCGATAAAGAAAAAGAGAACTGAGGAAGGAGTTACAGTCGCTCTGTGTGTGTGTGTGTGTGTGTGTGTGTGTGTGTGTGTGTGTGTGCATGCGTGTGTGTTTGCAAGTGCATGCTAGGCCAACATTTCAGAGGAGACAGGAAAGGATAAAGACAAAATCATGTGTGGAAGCATTAACCAGGCACAAGACATAACAGTATTTGGAGATGAAAAAAAAAAATTGACGGTCTATCCTGATGGCTTCAATTTTCTTAATTTAATCAGCAGGATGGATACCTGTAGTAGAACAGGGTGGGGCCTTGAACTATGGGCTTCCAGTGAGGCTTAGACTAGTCTTTGAAGAGTCAAGGAAGCTTGCCAGAGATAGACTGAGAGATTCTTGGGCAATGTTAGAGGTTGGCCACCAAGGGCTGTGTTGATAATGCAATGGTTTTCTTAGTTGTGGTGACTTTGTCTCTGGTGGCCTTTGGCCTCCAGGGATGGGAACAGAGAAGGGTGGCAGGTTCAGTGGCTCAGGATGAAGTTTTTCTGCATATGTTTCGGATGTGTAAGGATGTTGGTGAGTGAAATGTAGGCTCCCTGTAGAGTACAGATGGGGACTCTATTTTCTGATCAGTACCCACCATGGTCAGTCATTATGCTAGGTGAAAGGGATGTGTTATGCTCAGATCATGGGCATCAACTAGGGGACTGGGTTCTGTATGTGAAAGCAAAGAGTCTTTATTCTTATTCAAGCATGAACTCGACTCTCCATGTGTTCAATGTATTGGTGCAAACAGAGCCCCCAACTCAGTTGGGGTGTTTTTTTTTAATAATAGCTGAGGTTGGGGTGAGGAATTTCTAAGGTTCAGGGTTCAGGATTTCTAGCCCTGATTGGCTGACAATTGTTTAGGGGTGTCCTGGTGAAGAGGGATGGGTGTATGCTGGCAAGTGATCCTATCTACAATGGTTGGAATGTTAGGGATTTCCTTTGGATGTCTGTTCATGGGTGGTGCCTGCCTGGTCTCAGTTTACCAGGCCTCTACTGAGCTTGGCATGGTTGGGTCCTATAGGATGGTGATATAAACAGATCCAACATTGTACTGCAGGAGCACATGACCTGTGTACACAGGGGAACAACACCAGCATTAGTCGGGGGACTTGAGATCCAATTCAACTTCTGCTCCTTAGCAGCCCCTGGCTCGAGACCCCCCTCACTGCCGAGCTTAGTTTCCAACTGTGCAATAGCTACTCATGAAATTTACCTCCTGTCATTGTGGAAGAGTGGATGGAGTTTTCTGACCACATGTTGGAAGCCAGAGAGAGGGATAAATCAAGACTCAGCATTGCTCTTCTCAGGCTCTTTGAAGTCCATAGACCAATGGTTGCTATGACGGGGTCATCATCAGGCTTGCCTGCTGTGGGCTCTGGTGCCAAAGCCTCTCGGAGCAGTGTCCCCAGCCCACACTTTTGCACTGTTCAGATGGTGTTGTGAGGCTGGGCTGTCTCCCAGCTGAGCCAGGAGCTAGCCAGTGGTCACGGTCACAGTGATAGGTTATCAGAGCCTTACCACAGACCACACAAACAGCTGGCTGGAGCTCCCTTGCTGTCTGCTCCGCTACCCAGTCAGTCACAGTGACCTCCTCCCAGCTGGTCTGATGCTCTGTTCTCAAGGCCCACAGAATGGTCTGTGGCCAAGTTAGATGTTTACACCATTCTGTGGGTTCCTGGTTCGTGAAACAAAAATACACATGGCTTTGAGGCCTCTGCTTTGGGGAAGACAATGTCTAATTGGATGTCTGAGGCAAGACGAGAGCAAAGAAGGTAGGAAGGGAACATTTCATGAAGACAAACCACTAAGATACCCAGAAGCACTCAGGTGATTCTAGAATGGTAACACTACGGATGCAGCTTAGAAACAGTGACTTTATGTCAAGGTTTTGTTTTTTTTTTCTTTCCATCAGGCTAATTCTTTAATGACTCTAATCTAATTCCAATTCTAGTTCACAGGTATAGGAACCAAGGCCCAGAGAGTACAGAGCTGCCGTTCGGGAACTGCTCTCCTCACTATACAGCCCGGTCAGAATCAACTCTTCAACAAGGTTCACGTTCCACGCCGTTTATTATCCACGGGAAGAGCTTGCTGAGGTCTGTTGAGGCTGATTTGCATAATTCATTTTTAGAACATTAATTAGCCGGGATGTGTAATAGTTCTTGTGCCAATTTGTGTTTCAATTTCAAATGCAAATACAAATTAGCAAATGTTCTTCCCTTGGTACCTTAAGGAGGAAGCATTTGCTGCTCCAAGTGACTATTAGTCTTTACAGTTCTAAATGATCACTGATAGCAATAATATCCCCTCATTTGCACAACTGAGGGGGAGATGCTCTAGTTGGATCAGATCTGGGTGAGGAAGAGATAATTCTCTTTCAGCAGAAGAAAATAGTGTGTTAGGCATCTGTCTATCTGTCCACTCATTCATCCTTCCATTCTTCCATCCATCTGGTAGATAGCACTGAACACCTGCTTTGTAGAAGGGGAGAGAGAGAGAGAGAGAGAGAGAGACAGAGAGACAGAGAGACAGAGAGACAGAGAGACAGAGAGACAGAGAGACAGAGACAGAGAGAGAACCCGGGAGCTCACACACTTAATGGAAGAGAAAACCATGTAAATAAGAAATGTATGGTGATTATGATGTCCTGTTGGGCTTTGGGTTAGACCTACACCCAGTGGTGAAGTAGGAAGATGGGAGGATGCTCGATTGTCATCTAGATGGGGATGGTGGAGAAATATAGGTAAAGGTGGGCTGTTCTGGTGGGAGTAATGCTGGCAGTGGAGTACAATGAGCTCCAGGCTTCACTCTGGCAAAGGGCACCCCATGAAGGATGCTTTCTGAAAAGATGGAAAGGTAAGGATTGTAGGTGCTGCGGTTCCTTGGGCGTCTACCCTTGACCCTTTTAATATGGGGTACACACGTCTTTCTGTACTGCTGGAAGTCAGAGCTCTTAGCAGGTGTGCGATCAGGGGTAAGGTCATGGAAGGATTTGTGTCCTGCTTGTAGGTCAGCCTGCAGGCCTGCCTGTTAAACCATTGTGGGGAGTTGGTTGGACTGGGGTGTTAGAAAGCCTACTTTGGAAGCTGAACGAAGAATGTTGCTGTGGAGGAGACTTCAGAGGACTAGCTAAAGATTTATTGGAACAATCCAGCACTGAAAGTGGAGAGGACCGGATGCCACAAAGAAATACTTTAGGAACTAGGCCTGCTGGCACAATGCCTGCAATGCCAGCAATTTGTGGGCTAAAGAGTATAAATTCCAAGTCAGCCTGAGCCGCATAGCAAAGCCCTGTCTCCAAACACCAGCTTCCTGAAACCAACACCAAACCAAAGTTCAACCATATTGACATTTGACACACAGTAAGGTGTGGTGAGGAGATGAAGTCCTAAGGCAACGTATGTTTTGACATGAATGCGACGAATGCCACCATGTGTAAGACCCCAGTGCCTCAGACCAGTGGAAATGACAAAGCCTTGGCCCGGTGGAGTAGGGATGATGGAGAAATGGTTGGCCTTTAGATAAGAGCAGTGTGTGCATTAGTGTATCAACAGCAGCTTCCTCCTCCAGATGACTGCTTCCCTATCGGGACCTCCTGCTGGGATTGGCTAACCTGCCTCCCTCCTTCATGCCCTAAGTAACAAACCCCTTCAAAGCTGCAGCTGTTAAATCTCCTCCATCAGAGCACAGGGCCCATCTGATCTAAACTTTTCTCTATGCACATCTTTAATTTTTTAAAAAATTATTTATAACACCAGTTAGATCCATCTCTACTTCATTCAGATTGCAGCAATGTGGGGTCAGGCTTTGAATAGTCTTTCGAGTCTGACTGTGATCTAGGTCAGGCATCTTTTGTGTGCCCCTCTACAAAATGTCCATCTTAATAAAATCGCTACCATCTCCTAAGGGTGCTGTTCTTACAGTATATGCTTGAGAAGTGGTAAGTACAGGCTGGGGATGCAGCTCAGGTGGCAGACTGCTTGCCTAGAATACAGTAAGTCCTGGGTTCAATCCCGATCACTGCATAAAAACTGGGTGGTTGTGGTGTGATGTGGGAGTGATTTCTTACTAATAAAGAAACTGCCTAGGCCCATTTGATAGGCCAACCCTTAGGTAGGTGGAGAAAACAGAACAGGATGCTGGGAGAAAGAAGCTGAGTAAGGAGTCGCCATGATTCTCCCACTCCAGACAGACGCAGGTTAAGATCTTTCCTGGTAAGCCAGCTCTTGGGCTACACAGATTATTAGAAATGGGTTAGATTAATATGTAAGAGCTAGCCAATAAGAGGCTACAGATAACGGGCCAGGCAGTGTTTTAAAGAATACAGTTTCCGTGTAATTATTTCGGGCATAAGCTAGCCATGTGGGCGGCCGGGTGCCGGGGACGCAGCCCTGCCGCTCTTTCAACAGTGGTGAAAGCCTTGATTACCAGTATTCATAAAATAGGAGAATTCCAAGTTAGAAGTTCAAGGTCATTCTTGGCTACTTAGTTGGAGGCCAGCAGGGACACAGAAGACCTTGTGTGTCTTGGTGGGGGTGGGGTGGGGTGGAATTGACAGCATGAATGTGGTGATGGTAGTGATGGGGACAGGTACTTACTGGATATATACATATATACATATATATACATATACATATATATATATATATATGTGTGTGTGTGTGTGTGTGTGTGTGTGTGTGTGTGTGTGTGTGTGTGTGTATGGAGGAGCCTGAAAAACAAAGCCCAAATTTTTGAGCTGGATAGAGAAATGTGGCATTGCTTCTAATCTGATAAAAATGCATAGGGAATGAGAGGAATAAGTAGTTATGGAAAAGGTAAGAAGAAGTTTCTAGTCGATGATCTATTTTAGTTCTAGAAGAGATCTTCTCAAAGGACAGCCCCCTCAGGATTGGCAATCCCTGTGATATTCTCAGCAAGTCCAAGTTTATACTTTTAGCATAGTTTGATGACACCTAAACCATCTCGTCTCAGATTCTAAGAGCATCAGCTACTGGCTTGTCCTGGGATGTCCCAGAAATCCTGGATCCAGTCCAGGACAGATTTATTCTGGGAGCACAGGAGATGACAGTCTTATCATGAGGGCCATGCCTCCTTCAGAAGACAATGAGGAAGTGCACATGGACAATTGTTATTTTCACCAACCCAGCCTGGGTCAGGGTGGAGAGGGGGTGGTAGTGCCCTGAAGATCTTTAGATGCTTGTGCTGATGCAAGCAAAAGGAAAAGAGTTACCCACTCCACGTAGCTTAGCTGCTTCTAGAAAGCAGTGAAAGAAGAGATGCATTTGAGACCTAAAATGGAAAAGGGGGAGGGAGAAAAAGAAGGAAATGAGAGAGAAAGAAGGAGGGAGGAAAGGGGAAGGAGGGAAATAGAGACACACAGAGACATAGAGATGTAGGAAGAGGGCCCGCTTGTTCATCCCGGCAGTCTGGCTAGCTTAGCCCCGAAATAACCACACAGAAACTCTATTCATTAAATCACTGTTTGGCCCATTAGCTCTAACTTCTTATTGGCTAACTCTTACATCTCAGTTTAACCCGTTTCTAGTAATCTGTGTATCACACGTGACAGTGGTTTACCGGCAAAGATTCATCAGCGTGTCTTATTCTGGTGCAGATCCATGGTGTCTCCTGACTCCGCCCTTCTTTCTCCCAGCATTCAGTTCTGTCTTCTCTGTCTACCTAAGCTCTGCCCTATCAACAGCCAAGGCAGTTTCTTTATTCATTAATCAATGAAAGCAGCACATAGACAGAAGGACCTCCCACACCATAGAGAGACCCAGAGAGAGAGAGAGAGAGAGAGAGAGAGAGAGAGAGAGACATACAGACACACACACAGACAGAGAAGACAAATACACAGAGACAGAGAGAGGGAAAGACACAGAGACAGACAAACAGACATAGCAGATTATTGTACTTTGGGAATAGGAGGAAATTGCTTCTCAGGCATCATTCAGTTGTCATTGCTAATGCGATACCTTCCCTTCCTTTTCAATGGTCCTACGCTCTTTAAAAGAGAAGAGTAAATGAAGTTAATTTCATTCTGTGAATCATGTATCTAACATACACTTACATCATCAGTTGCCATGTGGCATGCTGAAATCTAGAGATTAAAAAAAAAAAAGACTTAATCCCTATTCCCAAAGAAAGGAATAATCATTTTTTAAATTTTTTTTTAGTTGTTTGTAGTGAATGAGAAGTCACTATAAAGTTGAGTATCTTACAACAATATAAGGTAGCTTCTTGTGATCTCATGGGTTACTTTGGGGTTCAGTGAGTGGTTCTTTTGTTGACCATTTTACATCTCTCATGGGGTTGCATTTAGGTCAGACCCAGCTCTAGAATCAAAAAGGAGTAGGATGGGGTGGACCTTCATCTTCTCTTACATGGTTCAGTGGTTTAGCCACAGGGGTGAACCTTCATCTTCTCTTACATGGTTTGGTGGCTCATCTATAGGGGTGAACCTTCATCTTCTCGTACATGGTTTGGTGGCTCATCTATAGGGGTGAACCTTCATCTTCTCTTACATGGTTTGGTGGCTCATCTATAGGGGTGTACCTTCATCTTCTCTTACATGGTTTGGTGGCTCATCCATAGGGACAGACTTTCATTTTCAGGGTTTTATTTTATTATTAACTGTTCTCTTTGTTTTAAACGTGCTTTTATTACCATATGTTAATTATACACAATAATGGGTTTCATTATGACATTTTTATACATGTGCATAATTTCACTCAGAGTCACTCCGTTACCCTCTCTTGTTCCCCTCCTACTCTTAATTATGGCACGCATTCAGCAAAGTCACTGAACTTTTAGATGGTGACTGACTTTCAAGAATGTAGAAGTAGAATCCTCAGTCAGGTGTGGATAGAACATGCCCAGTACTCAGAAATGGAGGCAGGATGATCATGAGTTCTGGGGTAGTTTGGGCAAGTTCAGGTCAAGCTGATCTCTGTGCTTGTGTGTCTGTCTGTCTGTCTGTCTGTCTGTCTGTCTGTCTGTATCTCTTTCTGTCACACATATACACAAAGTAGACTCTTAAAAGATCTACTTTGGCACATTTTTCATGGCAAAACAATTTGGAGACAGTCCACAT